GTCTACAAAAAGCCCAAGAAGAATTCTTTCCTATTGATGGCATTGCTAATTCGGGCAACCCGATTTTGCAAAGCCGTCTCACATCTGTTAATAATATATTATGTAAACAATTTAGAGAAAGCTAAAGAAAGCAGGCAATTTCGTTAATTCAACTAAAATTAAAAAAAAAAATCGCACGCCAAAAACCTCAGCTTCCGATTAAGCGCCTTGACTACTTTCTGATTCTGAATAAATGGCTCGACGGTAAGAGGTTTGGGTTATTACTGAAATAACCCTATTTTGAGGACCTTGAGGAATATTATTATTGGAAAAACCCCTATACTAAATAACTCGAATTACATTAAACACGAGAATGTTGACAAATAAAACGCTTTTTTGCCGAAAAAGACACTGCTTTTTTCAACTGCATTTGTAAAGAGTAAAAGTTACTGGTAATTTTAGCCTAGAAAAATATAGCGAGCCAATTTTATTATTTTTTGCTCGAAATATTTAATGTTTATAGAAAGGTGCTAGAATGACGAAAAGTACTGTTAATTTATAAATAAGTTCCTTCATTGAGTTGGCTTACGAAATTTTCAAATCTGTTTAAATACCCGCAGTTGAGTGTTATGAGTTGAGTTACATAAGAGAACATAAAAAGTGATCACGAGAGTAAAATTGTCGCGTTCATGAATTTTGTGTGATAATAGTTACTTTCACTTTCGGTGCATCACATCATATTACATATGAAGAGGATAGGCAAACAATTTTAATACTTTCACGTTTACAACGAGAGAACTTAAGCGTCGCACAGAGGAATATTTTAATTAGTTATAAAACCATTTCGAAACGTAATTTCTTTCGACCAACCTGATTTAAAATATTTATGATTTTTACTTTAATTGCACTTATTTAAAGGATTATTGCAGCTTGCATGATTGGTTAAATTTGTTCTTGCCATGATTATTTTAATGCCTTTCTTCGCTTAAGTGTCGACCAGTCTTTTCATTATTTGCTTGTTTTCTTAACTTTTATCTCGGTTTTCTTGCGGAACGAGCTTACTACCTGTTAAATCGCGCAAATAATGTACACTTACATACATACATATAAACATGAATAAGTACACACATACATACATACATAGGTATTTAATATCTTGCACTGCTGGGTGTAAAACCGAAATGTGACCACGCCATTCGCCCCGCTAATGCGTTGTGACTAGTTTATTTACTTTTTTATTGCGCAAACAATATGTCGACAATTTAAATGCTAATTTGTTTTATTATTGTTAGTTTTGTGATTTCCAATTGCTTTAAAATAAAACTAGTATCTATTTGTTTGAACCCTTAGAATGTTTATAGCTGTACACATGTGTGTATCTATGCACATTAGGGCAGAGGCGGACCCAGCAGCATTTCTTGGGGGGGACAAATTTTTCAACATAAATCGTGTATATAAATTTAAAAATCACCGCAATTTAAAATTTTTAGAGTTTTGATAGTTTTTAATTTCTTGAAGTTTCCCCTTTTTAATAACTTGAGTGGAATTCCAAAATTTTCTAAACTTTAAAAATTTTATGAATTTGAGAAGTTTTAGTAAATCCCAAAAATTCAATTACAAGNAAAATTTTTAGAGTTTTGATAGTTTTTAATTTCTTGAAGTTTCCCCTTTTTAATAACTTGAGTGGAATTCCAAAATTTTCTAAACTTTAAAAATTTTATGAATTTGAGAAGTTTTAGTAAATCCCAAAAATTCAATTACAAGTAATTCAATATAATGATGAATACTAGATTTCTAGAAATTTTTTATTTTTCAAAAATTTTGAGAATTGTAGGAATTCTAACCAATTTTTTCTAAGTAAAAGTGTCGAATATACAAAATTTATCGAACGAAATTAAATGTTTTCGAATGTTGAAAACATTTTCATATTTCGTCGTTTTTGAAAATTTAAAAATTTTCGTAATTCTTGAAGATTCAAAAAATTTTTGAACGTTGATGTTTTCAAAATTTTCAAAAAATTTAAAATTTTCAAACTTTGTTATATCAATACAAAATTTTGGAAAAGTTCAGAAAAGTGGAACAATTTTGGAATTTTTCAAAAATGTTCATATCTTTTAGAATTCTAAGAATTTTCTATTTTTTACACACTAGTACATGAACATAAGAACCCGCCTAAGTACCGAAATTTTTCGTACCCCATTTACCATTTTACTTATAATTTTCCCCTTTTAAGTGCTCGCGCAACACGTTCGGCAAAAAAAAAAGGAACAGTCCAGCGCCTTCGTCTTGGTCTGCAGGCTGTATCTGAGATACAGCCGCTAAATTTAAACGTAGAATACGTGGTATGGTTAAGAGCATATCAAAGTCAAAAGCGAAAGTACACACTAAGAAAAAAATATCGATAACAACAGCGATAATAATATGGATAGAAAAATCTATTAAAAATAACGGTAATAAAACCGAAAAAAATATTGATGACAAAATAGATAAAAATATCGACAAGAAAATCTATAGCAAAATCGATAAAAATATCGATAACAACATCGATAAAAATATCGATAACAAAACTGATACAAATATCGATAAAAATATCGATAACAAAATCGATAATAAAATCGACAGTAAAATCGATAAAAACGTCGATAACAAAATAAATCAAAATATCGATAACAAAATCGATAAAAATATCGATCATTATATCGATAAGTTCCGAAAATATCGATAGCAAAATCAATAATAATATCGATAAAAATTTCGATAACAAAATCGATCACAAAACCGACAAAATATCGGTTATTATATCGATAAGTTCCAAGAATCCCAAAAATCTCTAAAATCCCGAAATAGTTCCCAGATTGAGTCTCTGTTCCTCTATCTATATCCTTTTCTCTACAACTACCTTTATTTTAATCTTTCTTCCTCTATCTTCATCTTTACTTTTATCGGTATTCTCAACCTCATATTTTTCTTTATATTTATCTTTGTTTTTATTTTTATGTTTATCATATTCTTCATATACATATTCCCCTTCACCTTTTCCCCTTATATAAGTAAAGTGTTCAAATTTACCTTGGGCTTCAGTTTTGCCTTTATCTTTGCGCAACTTTGTTTTTGTTTTTATTTTTACCTTTGCCTTTATCCTTATCTTTATCTATGTATACGTACTGACCTTTACTTTTATTCTTGGATTGGTCTTTTTCAAGTGTTGTTTCACTTCAAAAAGTTTTCGCGTATTATGCATACATGTGTTCATAGATATATGTATGTACATATGTATAGACATACATAGATTACTAAAAAATTGAGCCAGATCCACATTAACTGCAATCAACATATGTACGTATGTATGTATTTACATATGTACGGGTCCATACGCTGTGATTAGGTTATAAATATTGGTCCATTTGTTTATCAAAAACCGAAGTATGTACTTACGCACACATACATACTTTTTGTCTCCTTCCCACACTTCCAACATATGCACGTGTTTGCAAAATGATGACGAGGTGATTTTGTATGGAAAATCATTTATGCCCATATATTTGAATAAAATAAACATATATAGAAGATATCAACCAATACTTCCCATATACCAAACGAAAGGAAAACTCTTGAATTTTTGATTAAAGAAAACAAAAACAAAATCATTCGAGCGGTTTTCGAGCGTTTTGGTAATGAAAAAAATTTGCAAATTTTTTCAACAATTTTTTGCCTTAAAATGCTCAATATTTGTTAAATTTATATAAAATTGTACCCGATAATATTTCTACTGCTCCAAAGAACCTATATCCCGAAAATGAAAGTTATATATGCCAACAATAAGTTGCTAGAGCACTTTAAAGGCTCAAAATTGACCCCAAAATAAGGGAATGTTTACCGTTGTTTTTTCGACAGAAACCGAATTGGTTATTTACAAAAATGAATCTGTCGACAGGTTTGGAATTTTATCTTTGAAACGCCACACTTTTCTTTGAAATCGCTTTATTAGTTCTCGTGCAATAAGCGTTTTTGTGAAGCTCTAAAAATTACAACTACAACATTTGAACATAGCCCCCATACCTTAAGGTAAGACGTATTCTACGTCAAAAATTAAAAAAATTAACGGTAATTTTTAGCCACTTGAAACTTGCACATTATTACACTAAAATTGAATGAAATGTAGTCATTTAAAAAGAGGTTACTACTGAAATAGAGATAATGAATAACCCTTATTCATTATACATATACATACTCTCGATATGTGAACGTACATACATAGACAGTTGTTACCTTTCTTACTTTGTTAATGCATTTACTTTCTTAGTGCTTTACTAACAGAACATCTACTTCAACAAACACTTTCAGTTTCACTCATACTACCAATCGTCACAAAAGTATTTACAATAGGTACAATGCATATATGTATGTTTACTTCCATAATCTTATCTTATCACCACAACGGCTTCGATAATTGTTAAACCTTATTAAGCAATACATTTTTTATTTCTTATTTACTATTCCTTTGCTTGATTCTTCGTTGTTTGACTCTAAATTTGTTAAGCTGCGTTAAGCCACAATGATGAATGTAATATAAATAAAAAATCAGCTGAAAAGTGTACTGACAATATATTTGTATTAGAGATGGGCACGGGACAAAAATTTCAATCCCGATTCCGCCGGGAGTGTCGGGAAAGGATTTTTCTGCCGTCCCGCGCGCAAAATTTTTAAACACCTTCCGGATACCGCCCATCCCAGCCATTTTGAAATCAGTAGCGTGGGTCCTGCGGGTCCCGATATTCCGCGCCCATCTCTAATTTGTATGCACATTTAGGTATTTTTGGCAATAAGAGGAGTTAAGCCATCTAAGCTAGCGTGACTACAGCTAATTATTAATTAGGTACACGCTCATAAAAAATAAATTGATAGTTAAACTATAGAACACTTAAGGCGTTCACTTTCACTTTTCTATACGCCTTATCTGAACTATCAATATTATTTAATCAATATCAGTTTAGTTGCTCGTTATTGGTATTATCTTTTAGTGTCTTTCTTTTTTTTTTACACATTTTATTCCGACTATTGCTTAATCATTTATGTTTACTTTCATTTTTCATTACAGGTGCTCGGCATTATTTGCATGGCCTGTGGATCACCCGCCTACATCGCTGCCACGTCATTCTTCCTATTCGTGGTTGTAATCTCGTTCATTGCGACAATTTTATGGATTTTCGCTTATCTTTTGGGTATACGTGAAGCTTTGAATGTTGCCGTCAATTGGATATTCACAGTAAGTTAAAGAAAGCAACTCATACTTAATATGTACACACATATGTATGTGTATACCAATATTATAAAGGGTGGGTCAGATTAATACGTTTTTCCAAGGTTCTTAAGTAAAATATATACTTGTACATATATACATATATGCTATATTTCGAATTTTTTTCAATATTCTGTTAGTTTAATCTAAGATACATACACCCTTACAAAAAAGCTTAAAACAATAATTTACATCATACGAGATTTATGCATTATCCAAGGATTTTATTTCAAAGTTCTCAGAGGCCTTCCTGCTCCTACAATAAAATGGAACTGACTCTTACAGCTGATATCGCAAAGTTAATATCGAAATGTACTTTTGCCACCGAAATTTTGGAAACACACGAAAAAAGAATTCCGGAGAGTTCTCAGCAAAGCACGAAAATACCTGAAAAAGACCTGATTAATGCCGAAAGCCCTCGGAAAAAGCTGCGAAATACTTGAAAAATCCGAATAAGTTACGAAAGGATGCTATAAAATCCCGAAGGAAAATACAACAGAAAGAAACTACGAAATATATAAAAATCGATAGAGAAACAATCCCGACCAGTCTCGAAAAATTCCGAAAAAATTATTCAAGAAATTAAAAAGCAAACAGTCATAAAAAAGAGTTGCGAAAAATATAGAAAAACTCATCATAAACAAGAAAAAAATTCGAAAAATCCCTGGACTGGAACGCGTCCCAAAAATTAACCCGAAAAGTAAAATACGAGGAAAACCCTCAAGTCTGAACAATTTCAAATAAAAGAAAAATCGTGGAATTTCGAGAAGTCATTTTATTTCATTAGAAAAACCCTGAAAACGACCTGATAAATCCCAAAAAAAGCCGAAATAATCCCAAAAAACCTTAAAAAAAATTCGAACAGTAATAGCTCAACTATGCATACTTTGTACTGCACTGAACAGACTTCTACATACATATGTAATGCTGTGCTTTGGGCAACCGCTTAAACGCAAAGCTCATTTAACAGATTCCTTATGTGACAACTCTCATGCAACGCCAAGTATGCATAACAGAGCTTCTAAGAAAAGAGCGCAAAAATCGTAAACGTTCCGAAAAATCTGGAAAAGTGCAAGAAATCCCAAAAGACTTCGAATACATCCCAAAAAAAATAATCAGAAAGAAGATGAAGTCTCGAAAAGTAAAAAAAACTTGAATATTCTTAACAAAAAAAGAAAACAAACTAATTCGTAGAGCACTGAAAACACCCAAAAAAAATACCGAAAAGTATCGAGAAATAAAACAGCAAAAAATCATGAATAAGTCCTAAAACATAGCTTCGAAAAATTCTAAAAAATAAAAAGCGTAAAACATAAAAAACCACAACAAGGCCTAAAAGTCTCTACAATACCTCGAAAAGTAAAACATGAGGAAACCTGAACAATCCCACAAAACAAGGAAAAATCTTGTATAATCTCGAAGAAAATCGAAATATTTAATTTCATTAGAAAAGCTCCGAAAAAGTCTCGATCAATCCCGAAAGATCTTGAGAAAAATCCCTAGAAGAACTTAAAGAAAATTTACGAAAAGTCCCGAAGGAATTCCATAAAATCGCACATGCCATTAAAACAGAAAAAATCAGCGAAAAATATTCCAAGAAATTCAGAAAAATTCGAAAATATTTGAAAATTTCAAAAATATCGAAAAAAGTTTTGAAATATCCCGAAGAAAACGAAAAAATACAGGACGGTGAAAAAATTGTGAAAAACTCTGAAAAGTTCAAAAGATCGCGAAAAACAACTTAAAGATTCCCCTAAAAAATGCCGTAAACCCTCTATTAAATTCCAATCACCAAAACTAAAATAAAAACAACAAACCGTGAAGTATATCCCGAAAATTTACTTTTCCTAAAGTCAGTCTCGAAAGAATTTCGAAAGCCCCCACAAAATAAAGAGCAAAAAAATTATGAAGTATCGCGACAAAATTCCAATAATCCCAAAAGATTTTGATAAATAAAAAACGAGGAGTTCGGAAAAAATTCTGAGCAATCCGAAAAAATTCGGGAAAATGTCGTAGACATTCAAAAAGCTTCGCAAAGATCTTAAAAAATTTTCGAAAGATTTCGAGGGAATTCCGCAAAAACCCGTAAGAAAATAAAAAAGCGTAAAATCAATCAAAATACCCGAAAAGCTCCAAAATGTTATCAATATTTCCAAAATTTTCGAATTATCCAAAAAAAGAGAAACGAAAAAATACAGAAAAGTTAAAATAAAATCTCGGAAGGTATGAAAAGATGTAACTTAAATAATCCCGTAAAACAATAAAAAATCATCAAAAAGACTCGAAAACTTGTGAAAAATCCCAAAGAAAGCGCAAAATCTCGCAAAACTTTCGAAAAGTCGAAAAAATAATAAGGGTAATTATAGAGTGAAATAATACAAATAATTCCGATAGTTAAAATGCGAGGATTCCAATCAAGTGCCGAACAAATGCCGAAAGTTCTTGTAAATATTCCGAAAAGAAAAATACGAGGCTTTCCTTAAAGTCCAGAAAACTTTGAAAAATCTCAAAAAAGTCAAAGGAAAATCTTGAAATTTTTTTGGATTCTTGAATCCTCTAAAAATGTGTGTCTTCAAAAAGCCAAACTTATTCCGCGTTTCTTGCTCAGAATAATGAAAGTCAAGTTTTTTCACGAGAAGAACGCAGGGTACCATAGCAAAGGATTCTTCAGATATTTTCGCAAATGCAGTACGACTATTTTTTCCAATGCCTTTTTGATTTCTTCAAATAAACTATATTTATATTTAGTCTCTGTACAGAACACTAAATGTTTTTTTTTTTTACTTTATTATACACGGCACGGTCTAAGTTTTTGTCCATTGGGACCACCCTGTATGTAACATTATCGAAAATACGTTCTCGATTTAGCTACAACAAAACCAAATACCTTAAAAACACAAATCGAAACAAATTTTTCACTTATTCCCCTTTCGTTTTCCTTTCTGTTTGCAGGAATTACTCAACACTGCGATATGCGCGCTCCTGTATTTCATTGCCTTCGTAGTGCAATTGGCCAAATGGTCTGGTTATCCGAGTACATGGGCTTATGGTTCGAATATTGCGGCCGGAGTTTTTGGTTGTTTCAACTTTTTGGCCTACGCTGCTGGCGCATATTTTCTGTATTTGACGCATAAGAGCGGCGCAAATTATTAGACGAGTCAAAAGAGTGAAATTAAAACAAAAAAACAAGAGCAACATCAAAGAAAAAAAAAAATAACTATGCATACAGATATTTTTTCAAAAAAATGTGCAAAACAAAAGAAACTAGTAGCTCACCTCATAAACTTATGCCACCATACCACCAAAAGCACTGAGCACAGTCCATACATAAAACAGCAACAACAATTAGAGGCATATTTACAACAATGCGACAACACTTACAAATGCCGTTTTGTGTTTGTTTTTGTGTAAATGAAACTCACTGTTGTAGTCAAAATGTAAAAAAAAAATGAAAACAAAAAAAAATTAGCTTTTAACATTTTTATTGGTAGTGTACTTCAATTCGATGTTCAGTGAAAATTTAATATTAGCAACGCAAAATAAAAAAAAAATACTTTACAATTTGTAGTCTTAAATGTAAATTACATAAATTTTTTTTAATATTTATTAACTACGCTGCCTTGTGTAAACTTACCGCATTCTTTGTATGGCAAATCAATTTCACAAAAAAAAAAACATATCAACGAAATTTAGATAAAAACGTGACTGTTTACAGACTTTAATATTTTCTACTTTTATATACATATTTTTCTGTAAACTTGAATTTGCTCAGCATATAGTTTTTATAGTCAAAATAAATAAATTTTTTTTTTGTCAAAAGACTACAGATAAGCATATTGCACATCCACAAAGTTGTGAGGTCAAAATTTGTCATCCTTACCTTTCAGCAAAAGCTCGAACAAAATTTTCTTGAAAAAATCTAAGTAAAGTCCCCTTGTTTATATGATTAATATGTGCTACGATTAATTTTGAGTTGTGTCACCTTTGCATTGAATGTGCGATATGTATGTATGTATAAAGGAGTCATATAGAGTATGAAAATAATAACTAGTATTTTGCATTTTTTTTTAAACAAAAATGGATTTTTTTTAACACAGCTACTCTGTGCGGTAAATATTCTAATTATGAAATAATTATTAAAAAATAATATATACATATTTATAAAAGAAATAACCGCAATTTTATTGTATGTTTCATTATTTGTAAGAACAAAATATCAGAGATGTTTTAATTAATAAAGTTACGTTTTAATATAAAAATAGTCTTAATGAATTTTATTGTTAAGTGGGCACTAGCTATGGCTCTTGCCGTTATAAAATTTAGTCGGCGTGGATCTCTCTAAGATAGAGTTTAATTACATATTTTCAAACATACCCGCACCTCATCGGAATAATAAATACATCCTTTTTACTGTTGAAATTCGACCGTTTTTCTAGTTTTTGAAAGAGACCCGAAAATAATTCCACTGTTTGATCACCAAAAAAATTACCTCTGCCTGGAGTGTTTTTATTAAACTTGTTTTTTAACCATAAAACTCTTCTTCTTACTTGGCGCTGTAACTGCCTAAGCGATTTTGGCCGGGCTCAACAAAGTACGCCAGTACCTTATCAACTCCTTGCCGTAATACTTGAATAGCTCATCTGGCATGTGGTCAGTACTAGCAAGGTGGTTGTTTTTCAGCCGCGTAATTGCTATTCGTATGTAGTCATAGTCAGGCGGTGGAACATCGACTCCGTCATCATTGACTTGAGGCTCGGGTTCGTCTTCTCCATTAGTACGGTGGAAAAATGTTCCCTACATATTTAATCACGTGCTGGACGTCGGTCTCTAGATTGCCATTGTTGTTCTTACAGGAGTTCGCCCCGGTCTTACAACATTCAGTCGTCCAATGCTTTTTTAAATTTTTTCGGGCGTTTTTCCTGTCTTCCAGCATTTCAAGCTCTTCGCACTCACATACTTCGGCCTCTATCTTCTTATTGCGGCATATACGTCTCGCCATGGATAATATGATACGAAACTCTTTTTCTCGTGAGAGCGCTGTCAAAAAGTTTATTTTTCATAACATCTTCCAATAGTGCCACTGCTAGGAAATACATGTATGGGCATTACTTAAGAAATTGTAGGAGATTTTCTTTTATTAAGCGAAATGAGAGAGCTACATATCATATTATCCATGGTCTCGCTTCTGTCTTCAGTATCCTATAGCGGTCCCACATAGCTCGCGTTGCGCCCGATCGCGGCGTGGCCCTATAAATAGGCGGTATCTGTTTTCTCAGTAGCTTTAAGGCTGCGTTTCACCAAACTCATTTAAGAGGAATATTGTTTGAATTAAATTTTTACTTAACTTTCAATTAATTTTTTTTAAGTTTCAAAAAGCCCTTTTATTTGAGTGAGTAAAAATATGGTGGTAGTAAAAGCAGGATTGGTATACAAGTAAACAGTTGATACACAATATGGTGGTATGTGTATATTAGGGTGGTCCAAAAACAGTAAAGCCAGAATTGCAATGCTCTCACCCCCTAGGATTGTTCTATATCGAAAAAAGTATACCCCTATTTTTTATTTGGAAATCAAAAAACATTTAGAGGTCGCTCAAAGTGCTCAAAGTATTCCATGTATTTTTATATTTATGGGGAAAAAACAAATTTTCGTAGAAATGGTATAGAATTCTCGTAAATTAATATTTTTTGATCGGAAAACTCTGGTTTTCTTCAGGAGACTTTCAATAATAATACCCAATTGTTTATTTAACCATTTATTATTATTATTTTCACGTGAATTTTTGAACCACCATAGTGTATATTGATCTGCTGATTAAACGTGTAACAACTCTGAATGTGATTATTCTGATTTAATTTTTATTTAAGTGAAGAGCTTAGGTCACTTAAATTAAATTAAATTTGATTGGTGAAACGCAGCCTAAATATCTATATGATCTGAAAACGGATTTTTGAAGTTATTCAACAATATCTACTTCAATTGCTCTTCTGAAATTCGGCCTAAGAGTTTAATTAAAAAGTTTAAAATTTTTAACTTAGTCTGTTGCATTTCTTTAAATATTACACAAAATTTTAAACCTGGATGTATACGGTATTAGCTCAAGAATAAACTACCTTTTTATAAAAAATAACTAAAAATAAAATTAAAATTATTTGTTAGAACTTGACCTATGTATATGCTGTTAAAGCAGAGAACGTTTATAAATATAAATAAATATATTTATAAACGTTCTCTGGTTAAAGTATGTCCTGATTTACAAATGTTCATGCATACGCCAAGCGGAAATTACCCCGGCAGAAATAATTGAATTGAGTTCGAATTTTCACCAACAGAGAGCGCCCTAATCGCACCCAAGAGTGCATGTCTCTGCTTGTCAAGCAACAAATGTTGCTAGAATTCATGTTGCCAAGAAAAAATGTTGATTTTAATTGGCAGAATATATATACATATTTACATACATACAAATGTACATACATATGTGATTTTAAAGATGCATAGGCACGCTGACCATCCGTCCTGTATTATGCGTGGTAGCCCTCCTTTTTTAACCAACTGCCGTGGTAATTTATTTATTTTATACGGGATGCCAAATGTTCTGTATTTCTTTTAATGTCCTGTAATTGGTGTTCGGTATTTCGACGCCTAACAGCTCATTAAAATGACATGCCTATGAACCAGTTTAAAAAGTTATTATTTTCTAATCTGAATGCCTGCGATTTGAACTGAGCAACACATGCAGTGGCAAAAAAATCAATTAGGACTCGACATTTTAGCAAGGTTTTTGGCTATTTTTAACCGACTTCTAAAAAAGGAGGAGGTTATCAATTCTTCGGAATATTTTTTATTTTATTTTATTTCTTTTTTCTACACTAATCTTGTTTAGGTCCGATCATTGTTTAGGTCCGATCATTGGATTATGAAATATATACATACATATATTTTTTTATATGAGAATTGAAATCGGGTTTGTTTTTAACCGACTTCCAAAAAAGGAGGAGGTTATCAGTTCGTCGGAATCTTTTTTGTTGTTTTTATTTTTTAATTTTTTTATTTTTTATGTATGTTACCGCATAACTTTGGACCACGTCAACCGATTGCGATAATTCTTTTTGCATCGGAAAGGTAGTGTCTCAGAGGTGGTCCCATACTAATCTGGTTAAGATCCGATCAGTGGATCATGAGATATATATATATATATTTTTTTTTATGAGAGTTGAAGTCGGTTTTTTTTTTGCTAAAAATTACTAGTTGCTAAACATTATTTGTTCTTTTGTTTATTTAATGTTTATTATTTTGGTATGAAGGTAAAGCTCATTTCCTAACAAAAACCATATAAATCCACGTTTCAGACATTGTGCAAAACTATGAAAATTCTGCACCACCAAAATTTAAAAACTTTTAATCAGAATCTTTAGAGAAAATTTTGGTTTTCAGTTTTTAGCTCATTAAAATTGAGTATAATAAGGTACAAGTGCAACGTGCTGCTCATTTGCTTCCCTACCAAAAAATTGTCGAACGGTCTTACTTTATATACAAAATGCGTAATACAAAAATGCAAAAAATTAACGGTGAATCCTAGCTACCTCAAACTATATTATATTATACTTTAACGAATTTTTTGTAACAAATTTTACGGGTTAAAAGTGTCGAGAAAAATATCCTACAAATTTGTGAGGTTACTATAAGGATGCTGTATCAGGGCTCACTGAAGAAGGTTTTAAGTTCTGTTAGCATTTGTGGAAAGAATTAGCAAAAGTACGCTTTGTCCCGATTCGGCTCCGATAAATATGGTCACCGTATGTTTGGGTGATTCCCATGATTCAATAATAAATAGGGATGGCAAAAAAAAAATCGATTTATTAATCATACGATTAATCACAAGCCAAAAAAATTAATTGCAATTAATTGTAATTATTGAGAAACAATCGATTTATCGAATTTTTAAAGGCACTTTTTTACAGTGAGTATTCACAAAAATATTTTTCCATAAAAAATTTCTAATTCTCTTGTTAATTAGCCTTCAATAAGATAAAACGAGTATTTTTAGCGCCGATAATTATTTATTATTTAGCTATCCTCGCAAAACCGAAAGTTTCGATAAGCGTTTTGTTGTTAAGCGGTTGCGTTTCTCGGTGGCTGTAGCATGAACTTTTGAAAAAGGCGCTCAGCAGACACCGATCTGATTGACAGTATTTTTTTTATAAGTCTGTAAAGTTTTGGGTAAACAGTTTTCATTTCCTCCCAAGTGTCGATGATATTCCGCCTTAGTTCTAGGACTTAACCATTAACAAGAAATTTATGAGGGGCCCAAATATGTTTTCATAAGATCATCTGGGCACATTATTTCATTTCGCAAGATTTTTTTTTGAACCTTGAGTCGAGTAAACTAAAGTTGACGTAGCTAGCAAAACAGGAATGTTCGATGGAGCCAA